GGAGGGTGTTTTCTGCTCCCCCCTGCCTTCGTTATATTCGTAACCTGTCTCCCAAGGAGGTTTATCTTGTCATTCCGCCTATTTTTTATTTTTTTTTTTAAACAGCATTTTTTTTTTTTTTTCCTCCCTAAAACTTTGTCATGACGTCGAGCGGCGTTAAAAAGCCAGGATTAAAGGATGCTTTCCTGCCTGAAAACTCCGAGCGGCAAAGTTGAAGCTTTGCAACATCGAGTTCTTTCATTAAAACAGCAACAACGAAAAAATAATCTGGTTTTAGAATCCATTTATTACGGGGTTTTCTCTCCGATCGACTAAAATGTCGAAGTACCAATGTGAAATTAAACTCTCAGGCCAAGATTTCTGGTTGCACTTGATGCCATTCTTGGTAATAATAGCCTCAGTGAACAGAAAAATGTGTGTGTGTGTATATATATATATATATATATATATATATATGATCTGCTGCTTCCTCTATAGGAAATTAGCCCATGTGTAAGCTGGAGAGCTGCTTGCAGATCCCATACGCGTATTTGCAAAACTAAAGAGCAGAAATCAAAACTGTAAATAAATTTTTTTAGACCACGCAGCCCCAGTCCCTCAGAGGTGTCGGTACGTGTAGGCTTAGCTAATGCTTTGCTATTTTAATTTAAAGTGTGGATCTACGCAAGCTACAGCTGTTTCTTTCTGAATTTATGCATATAAAGGATGCATAAATACAAGCTCATCAGACAACCGTCATGTGGGATGGGATAGGTTGTAATTATAAGAATAGTTTCAGTGTTCCACCCAACTGATAATTTATGTCACACTCAGAATGTATCTTGTAAAATTGTAGATCTAATAGAGAATAGCCACTGTGATTTTTCTCTCCTCTTGATCGCTCCAAGTCTAATTTAACTGGTTAAAAAAAAAAAGAGGCAAACACCATGAGATTTAGATAAAGATAGCCAGAATGACTTCTACCGCAGACATATGCAGCAGGATTAATTAACAAGGGCTATCAACTTCTAGAGCTGGGCCCTGGTCTTTCAGTTACACGTGTTCATAACTGTACCCTAGCTTCCCCAAACAAATCTTCAGCTGAGGTCTAAGCATGAGTAAAGGTGTTTACATGAGCAGAGTCCAAAGATAAATGATGAAAGAGGGCATTATTGTTTGATCAACTATCAAATAGTATACTTTATAATCTAGAAAACTACTTATAATTAAAGCTAAGAACATCACTAGAAGAAAAATCTCAGTCAGGTGCTAAACGATGTCTGAACAGAACCTAAGCTGCTTTTGAGGTGTAGAAGCCAGGTAGGAAAAAAAACAACTTGTCAGTGATTTCTTGCAAGCCTAGCTCTTCAAGTGCTTCACAAATGGAGTCAAATACAACATCCATAGCTGAATTCAGACTCCAGCCATAGGCCAAGGCAAGTTACAGACAGAAATATATTCTCAGTGTCAAATACTCCGGTTTATATTACAAACTTCACTTCATTCATACAGCTCTCCTTTGTTCTGGAGGAAGCTGTCAGAAAGCTGCCTCAGCTGCAGTTTGAAAAAGATGCTCGGTACATCCCAGTCTCCACCAAATTCATAAAGGCTTTCACTATTATTTATTTTACGTAGGTCACAAAGCAAATATAGTGACGGGTGACCAAACAGAGCCATGGAACACCAACGCCTACCTTTTAACAGTGACAGATTTTACCATGGTGTATCAATTTAATGTTCACACGTCACATAATTCTTTTCTTTTAAACATTGCTGATGTATGTATGTCAAATTATGCAAAAGTAAAATGGCTTAATTTGGCAAAATTGTATTGATTAGCTAACTACTTTAACGAGACAATATATTATCAGCTTTTCAGTTTCTAAGGTTGACTCTCATCAAGTGACTCAAAAGTGCCTCTTGCTTTAGAAGCGCCATCCAAGCAGGTAAAGCACACACCACCTTGCCTTCACACATCTTTGATCATCTCCTTTCTTGCTCTTTTTTGCTCTTTCAAGCTGCTTGTTGCATTTCCCCCCACCCTCTTTCACAACTTTTCTTTTTTTTCCCCTATATATTCCCACTCAAGATCTAATTCTGCAGTCTGGGCCTCAGGCTGTCCTTTAGTAAACCTTCTTCCGCTAGTAAAATATTTTCCCACTGTGTCGTGAGTACATCAGTATTCCAGCAGAGGGAGGAAAGTGGCAGCAGAAAGATCAGTTCATCAGTTCAATGCACAAGACCGATTAGTCAGAGAGCAGGAATAGGGGCAGATGAAAAACCGATTTTACAAGGACTGGAGGTGGAGAGAATTTTCCTTTCCACAAACTCACTACGCTGCATATGCACTTGGGTTTTTTTAAGCGCACAAGTTCAATTTTCTTAAATTCTTTCCATAGTGCTATACACCGATGCATTCATGGTTTCAGGGAAACACAGGGAAAGCCCTGAAAATCCATCATGTTAGAAGGAGATCAAAATTGAAAATGCATGTACAAGCTGTAGACTTTGAACAGAGGTGACTATTAGGGATCTGAGACATCCAGGTCAAGAGTACAGTCATCCAAAGCTCCCCTGGCAATCAGCAGAGAGCCTGGGATAATTTTGGGATTGGTTTGGTCCCTCCTGGTCCAAAGCACTTTTTGAAGAAGCCCTTCTCTTCCTACTGGCCACAGAAGGAGGCAAGGATGACTGTGCACATAAATTAGGCACCTCCATTAGGCACACAGAATTAAGCGGGACAAACCTGGTCAGGAGTGCAGAACACTCGAGTGTGGAAAGCGCTGCCTAATAGCCAATGCTCCTTTAAGAGAACAAGAACTGGTCCAGAAATGCCACAATTCAAAGGACTTAACTGAGGAAGAAAAATAGCCCAAGAAGTAGCACTGGGACTGAGATGGTGTGTGAATAACTACAGACTGCTTGTACGTGTGAATGAGAACAGGTATACCTATTCAGAGAACAGAGAGAAAAAAGATGGAGGAGTAAGTTAAGCTCAGACAGAAAGTGGATAGAGAAGGAAAAATTTGAGGCAGGAAAACAGCAGAAAACAGTGGATGACAAACAGCCAAATAATGGGGTGAAGAAAATGTAAACAAACAAACAAAAATTTAACAAAACCTGCAAAAGGAAAGAATGAAAGGACTCAAGGAGGGGAAACAAAACATACAAAAAAGGAACCCCCACCATTTTAAAGCTCACTAAATAGATTTAACAACATATTAAACATGGTTGGCGATACTATGATTAAATGCATGCCTACAAACAGCATGCAACTGCTTAAAACTGCAGAGGATGGTTATTTTGTGGCATGACACCACAGGCATTTTTTCACCTGTACTGGCAGGTTTCATTCTGCTGCGCTCACTAAATAGATTTAACAACATATTAAACATGGTTGGTGATACTATGATTAAATGCATGCCTACAAACAGCATGCAACTGCTTAAAACTGCAGAGGATGGTTATTTTGTGGCATGACACCACAGGCATTTTTTCACCTGTACTGGCAGGTTTCATTCTTCCGCCAGGTGGTCCGGGAAAGCCATTCAAGCAGGGAACACCTACCTCAGCTGTTCAGTTAGAATCGGTAAGACAGCCTCCATATAGGACCTGAGATACGGTAACTCTTAACCGGAATGAAAAAGGAAGGGTGGACCTGCAGACGAACTCTTTTAAGAATGG